TAATAGTCTTTATCATTCTAGTTTTTTTATATTTCAATCCTGAACATTAGACAAAGTTATCTAAAGTAACATTAGATACTTTTTTCCCAATAAAGTTATTTTGCACTTTTCCAATGTGTTTTTACTTTTATGTAAATTAAAAATCTTTATAAATTTTATTTTCTTAATGCTTATTAGATTTTATTGTGGTTGATTAAGGTAAGGGTAGAGGCATCAAGATCTTATTAAGTCTTAGTTATTTTAGAAAATTTTGATTAGCAAAAAAAGTAAAATTATTAAATTAAAACTAAATTGATGATTAACAAAAGAAAACTAGGGGAAATCACAAGGCGCTGTTTGAAATGTTTTGATTTTTTAGTTTTGAAAATTATTTTATAAAATAGTTTTTAAGAGTTGATTTTTAGAGCTAGAAAAGAAAAAAATCAGTTTGGTAAATTAATTTTGAAAAGAGTTTTAAAAGTTATAAAACATAAAAGCCCGTTTGTTATATGTATTTTAAGAATATGTTTTTACGTAAAAAAACAAAAAAAAATTGTTTGATTGATGTATCTAAACAAATTACGACAAACGAGTGTCGAAACCTGATACATGGAGTAATTTATTATTTACAATTGTGCCATTAATGAGAACAACTTATTCTCCGTCTTTTCATTCTTTTAAAAATAGAAACTCAAAACAAAAACAAAAACACCTATAAGATGTTCTGTAATTTCAAGTCTAAACGTTAAAAAAATAGATACTGTTTTGAGAATATGTTTCAGAAAACACCCTCTGTAAAACAAGTTTTTAATACTTTTGATTTTAAAATTTAAGTTTGTCTTCTAAAACAGTTATCAAACAGCCCCAAAACTCTAGTTTTTTCTTCTTATTGCGGGCACTACCATATCTTTTTAATAGTTTTCTTTATTATCTGTTATTTTATTTTTTTCCTCTTATTTTAATTTTTTCAAAACCTTTTTTAAAATATTTTGACCCGCCTAACTTAAGTAAATAGTTAAATTATTATTTTGTATTTAATTTTCGTGGAAACAACATTCTACTTTGATACTTTAGTATTATTTACATAATTAGAGTATGTATGACAACCATTCTGTATCGCTTTCCCTGCACTGATTCTGAGATTACAGAGTTTTTCCTGATTCTGTGCCTTGGAAGAGTTCCGAGAATCAGAATTATATTTGGTAACGCATTTTCTTATTCCGACTCAAATTTTGAATAAGCGACTCACGGATCTAAAAATGAATGACGATATTTTGGAAAGGCTATGACCTAAAAATCTTTTGTATTCCACCACTACAAAAAAATATGCATATAGTGGGGGTCATATGTACAAATAGTGGGGGCCTTAAACCTTCACATACTACATTTGTAGCATTCAACCAACACGCTGGTATGACGTTCGCCACAACATATGTTGTAGCATTTTTTATGCAGCCGCTGGCATGACCTCCAGTATTTGTTGAAGAAATTTGTGGGGGTTATTGACCCCCAAAATATGTTGCATGTTCTGACATTTGTAAACCTCTACAAAATGTTGCATGTTCTGGCATTTATAAACCTCTACAATATGCTTCATTTTCTGACGTTTTCTAATCCCCACAAGTTTCATTTTTTGGCATTTTTTGAACCCCCCCTCCCCCCAAAAAAAAACACTATCTGTGTGCTATTTTGGTTGTAGTTCCCCCATAATTTTATAGTTGTTGGCATGCATTGAATCTGGTTAATAATTTAAACTTTGCCCCCTCGTGTTTATAACCATCTAAAAGATGATTCCATATGTCTCTAATGCATGCATAGATACATGTAAATGGAACACGTATGTCAACAAACGTGACAGAGAGTTTAAAAAAACTAGAAAACTAATTAGTTAGTTAAGAAAGCTAGGACAATTGAATATTTGTTGGTCACAATTGCCATATAGTAAACAGGTATTTTGTAATTGTACACATTCGAACAGACATAACGTTTATCATCTCAAAAAAACTAGAACGCATAAAGGTCATTACCATGTAAACAATAGTAGGAAAGTTACAATTATCCTAAACCAAAATACACAATACATCCATCTTAAAGCTCCACAATCCACAATATATAGTGTCAACTCATGCGTGGTGTTGGGCCAGCTTCACTTCCTTCATTCTGTCAAAGAACAATTTACTGTACTCTTTTAGAATGCTACAGCGAATAAAGCACTTAACTCAAGAACTTGTATTATATAGAGTTCAATATTAATTAATAACCATATAAATCATTACCATTGGAGTAGAAGCCATGCCCAACAATGCATCCAACTCTAGAGGAATTCTTCCTTCTTTCATTTGTATATAAGCAAGCATTACAGTCTGTAATGTCTTGACAGTTTCCTCTGAAGCTGTTAACTTGGTCTTCAAGGTAATAACTTCTTCTTTCAATTTAGAACTTTCAGCTGAATTCATGCTTGAGAAAGTGGAGCCAATAGGATTAAATCGTCCAGTGGTGAGTCCAAAGGCAATACTAGGAAGGCCACCTAGGCCTAAACCACGTACGCGACCAGAGTGCTCTGGTCCTAAAACTTTTGCAACCGCATCATTTGTTGAAATTTCAATAGAATTAGTGCTCTGACTTAATTCTTCATGAATCTGCTCCTGTACATGTTCAATATTTGTGAGTCTAACATAAAAATGAACTATTTTGGAGACACCTGAGACACTATTTTGGAAATGCTACTGTCTATAATAGTGCCTTATTATATGAAAACAAGTAATAGTTATTATTGCAAATTTTATGCACCACACCACAAATATATATAGATAGACTCACTAGCAATACTACTTAACAATGATGATGCAGATCCAAAATAGTGATACAGACATTAATGTAACTCACCACTATAGCCTTTGTTTCCTCATTGGCATATGATCCGTCTTTTCTCTTATGAGTAGCAATATATAGTTCCCCTCGGCTTACAGGTCGTCCAATTTCTTCTTCCTAGAATATATATGACTCACATAAGTCTAAATGTAAAATGTATAAGACCTAATAAGGGAGAACACAATTAATTTACCATCTCATGTCGTCTCCGAGACAAAAGTTTGGACCCCCCAGTATGTGGAATTGTTTGTTTTTTTCTGATTTCAGCATTCTTTTGACATAACTCCTACGAAATGAACAAGGAATTAACAAAAATAATAATAATAAATTACAACATATTTGGTTTCATAAATGAAGAGAACAATAGAGTGAAATTTTTATCTTTTTTGCAGGCCACTATGTTTCACAACTTATTGTTGAAACAAAGACCAAGTTCAATCTCAAGGGGATAACTGTGAGTACAGAAGGGCAATTTTGAATAATTAAAATATAAGAAACCATTTAGTTTATTCGAAAAGTATAACTGGTTCGTGTGTTGATAATTGCAGATGGAGAATCCACTTCTGGAATTCAATACTGATTTCAACTCCAAAGCTGAGTTCCTTTGGTCCCACAGACTCATAGCAGATGAAACTTACAAAGTCTTTGCTAGAGCATGCAACTATTCCACAATATTTAGGACACAAATTCTAAATAAGAATCTTACTGGAGTTTGTGCAAAAGTAAACAAAAAATTTAGGAAGAACTATTTACCTTTTTTTTAAGAACAATAAATTTCTGATTTTACTATTAAAAAAAATTCTTTTGAGAAAATTTGAATAAGTACATTTTTATCACAGAATAACTATTTTTAGGAAGAACAATCGAAACCTTTTTTTTAAGAACATAAAGACAAATGCATTTACCTTTAATAAATTAAATTACAAGCAACCAATATTTAATAAATTTACCTTATAACTTGGTGTCAAATGATAGTCAACAAATGACGACCATTGGTCTTGAGGAACACTAGTAGGGACATCATCAATTAATTGGTCTCTGGAAAATTTTGAGTCATAAGTTGAATGCCATAATTTTGACTTGCCATTTCTATACCTTCTCGCCATGGTAAGTAGACAATAACGCTTAGCAATTTCTTCTGAAGTCTGAAAAAGAAATAGATTCTTCACAAAAATAATAATCAGTCCATACTCGAGTAGAAGTGCCTAACCCAAAAATCCAAAAGTTAAAATGATGAAATTAAAAATTTGGTGCATGCATATACCTTCAGAGTGTTAAAGCAAGTTGTCTTGTATGATTTATGTACTTTATCCCATCTTTCATAGCTAATAGGAACATTTTTGCAATCATTGACAATACGCCCACATGCTCCAGAAAGCAGTACTTCTGCTTTTCCATAAGCTTGCATTTTGTCTATCAAATTGCACTATTATACGTTGACCATCACTCATCTCAAACACACCTGATACTGTCAATTGAATTCTCTTTTCATTTCCTTCTTCATCTATTAAAAGACATATAAGTTAGCTCATATGATAATATAATAATCAAAAATTTCCTAAGCAAAAATATTACCTATAGCCTGTACAGTCCATGTCCTACTAGATTCACGCCCGGCATGTGAAGGACGATTTGGGACATGTGGTTGTTCCGAAGGAATTGATGATGCTATATGCTCCTCAGGCATATTGGAACTTGATGATGCAGCATAAAACTTTGTGCGTTTTCCTTTAGGAGGCATGACTAAACTATACACTGTCCAATTCTAACACAATGGTTTTAAATAGAATAAATTATAACAATAAACAGTGATGCAGACATTAGAAACCCAGAAGTCAAAAGAGATTATACTATATAGGTGATGTGTCTAGTTATCAAACAGACAAGCAGACCATGAGTTTTATTTAGCATAAAATTCAAGGTGATCAAAAACTACTTTTCTAAAAGAAAAAAACATAACATAGATGTTGACAGGTAGATAATTCTGTATTTGATAGAATGACTAACATCTTTTGCTTTCATCAAAAATTGAAAAAAAATAAGAGCTACAATTCTATATCAAAACTATGGAATTACTAATACTAAAAAAACATCTTGAGTGGTACTAACAGCAGACACCATATAACAAGCTAATAAAGCTATAAATTGAATCACTCGGACATTTCATCTCCATAAAGTTGATTTTCAACATGGCTTATATGAGTGAATTCACCATCTACATCCTCCCTAGCCAATGCTATTGTGTCAGCTTCATTTGGAAATATATTGCTTAAGTCTTGCTCTTGGTATGGCTCGGTCTCACATATAACATCTTCTATATCTTCTCCCATATCATATAAATCCCTTGGCGTCATGTGCACAACAACACTCCAACCTTGATTTACCTCATCATCTACATAATACACCAATCGTGCTTGTGAAGCTTCTATATAAGGGTCATGCTCTTCACGTTCACCCGTGTGAATACATTGAGAAAAGTTCACTGAAGTAAATTCCCATGCATCCTTTCTAATTCCACGGTCACGTGTGGTATCTGCCCATTTACACTTAAATAGGATAACTTTGAAAAAACCATAATAGTTGAGCTCTATTATGTCCATCAACTTCTCATAGTAAGGCAAATCTGCTCTACTCAAATTTGGATCAGCACTACTTGCAACACATGATGTGTTTGAAGTTAGAAAAACTCCACTATTCTGAGTTTTCAAACTTGCTTCTCGAGCTATAGTTCTAAACTTGAACCCATTGATATTATATGTAGTATATCTTCGTGCCTGTAGCATCGAACCCCTTGCTAAAAACTTTATTTCTTCTGGCACTGAATTTATAAAGTCGGGATTCATAACCTAAAGTAAAATAAATTATTTTAGGCTCAAAAGTAAAATTAAATTTTTTCAAGAAAAATTAGAATTTAATTCACCCTTTGAGGAAACCAATTTGCAAATTCTTTAGTGACGATCTTTTCTATCTCTCTAGCTGAAGGTCTTCGACTCCTTGTCCTCCTCTTTGTGAGTGCTCTAAATTCACTTCAAAAAAATATTGCCATGTTAATATTTCATCGCAATATTCTCACCTTTAACACATGAAAGGTGTCAAAATACTTACTCAACATATGGAGTGACTACTGGACAATTTAGTAGCAAATATCGATGTGCTTGTATTTTCTCTAATGGAGTAAGAGTGAAAGTTGATGAACTTCCCATCGATCTGCCTAATTGAGGATAGATGGAGGATATTTGAGACGTTTCAGTACTATTTGGACGATCATCAACACGTCGACCTCTATTCATCCTTGACTCAACTTCTTCATATTGTGAATATAAATTTAGGGTCTCCTCTGCTAAATAAGCTTCACTTATAGAACCTTCAGGTTGTGCCTTATTTCGTACAAAGGACTTAAAATGTCCTAGTGCCCTATGATCGTAAAAATAATATTATAATTAAGACATTTATTTAATATTTTTTACCTCAAAAAAATAGTAATCGAGTTGAACATAGTAAAAAATATGTACCTCTCAATTGGATACATCCAGCGATAATACACTGGCCCTCCCAACTTCACTTCTTGAACAAGATGGCAAGTTAAATGGACCATCACTGTGAAGAACGATGGGGGTAAAAGGATTTCCAAATGGCAAAGAGTTAGCACAATTCTATGTTGCAACTTATCAAGGTCTGAGATATTCAATCTTTTAAAACATAATTCTTTGAAAAAAGCTGATAACTCTACCAACACTGTAGTCACTGCATCAGGCAAAACATTACGTATAGCTATTGGAAGCAAATGTTGCAAGATGATATGACAATCATGACTCTTCAAGCCAGATATCTTAGAGTTTTTGTCATCAATGCAACGAGATATGTTACTTGAGTAACCATCTGGCATCTTTGTGTTCTTCAATGTAGTGAGAAATATCTTTCTTTGTTCTCCTGTCATTGTAAACAATAAGGGAAGAAATTTTCCGTTTTCAAGTGGCCAAAGATCTTGTTTTATGCCCATATGCTTTAGATCTTTGCGAGCTTCATGATGATCTTTTGATTTATCATCTTTTATCAATGTATATAACACATTGTCACACACATTCTTCTCAATATGCATAACATCTAGATTATGGCGTAAAAGATTATCCTTCCAATAAGGAAGATCAAAGAATATGCTTTTCTTTCTCCATTGTTTTGATCTATCTTCTACACGATCTCGTTTCCTTTTACTATTTGAGTCAAGGTTTCTTCCAAAGGTTATATTGACACCATTAAGTTGTTTTAGAATCTCAAACCCAGATAATAATTTTGGTGGATCCCTTTCTTCAATTGTGTCATCAAAGTGCTTCTTCATCAATCTAAATGTATGACCCTTCTCTAAAAATCGTCGATGACCCATAAAACACCATTTTTTGCTATATTTCAGTCGACAAGGGGTTGTGTCAAAATTACAAGTTGGGCAAGCATAACCAGTATAAATGTTCCACCCAGATAAAGAACCGAGCCCAGGGAAGTCACTAATTGTCCATATAAGAGCTGCTCGCATTCTAAACAATTCATTCATAGAAGAATCATAGGTTTCCATGCCCTCACTCCATAGCTCATTCAACTCCTTGATTAAAGGTTGTAGGAAGACATCTATATTATTCCCAGGCATTCGTTTACCGGGAATGATCATAGAAAGAATTAGGGAAGTTTGCTTCATGCACTCCCAAGGAGGGCGATTGTATGGAATTAGGATCACTGGCCATACGCTGTAGTTATTACTCATGGTTCCATAAGGATTGAAACCATCAGTTGCTAGGCCAAGGCGAACATTTCGAGATTCAGAAGCAAATTCAGGGTGAAGCTGATCAAAACTCTTCCACGCTTCTGCATCTCTTGGATGCCTCAATAATCCATCTGGGTTATTTGCCAAAGCATGCCATCTCATGGATTTTGCTGTTTTAGAACACATGAATAACCTTTTCAACCTTGGTTTCAAAGGAAAGTAACGCAAAACCTTGGCGGGTCGCTTTTTTCTACAAATAGTTGGGTTATCTCCTTTTCCTTTATCTTTTGGCTTCCATCTAGAAGTTTGACAATGTTCGCATGTCTCCAGACTTTCGTTTTCTCCCCAATACAACATGCAATTTTTCGGACAAGCATCTATCTTGGTATAATTAAGACCAAGTTTGTAGATGACCTTTTTTGCCTCATAGAATGAATTCGGAATTTTTGCATATTCGAATGCGTCTCTTAGCAATTCAAGTATCAATGTCATTGCCTTGTCAGTTATGCCACACAAGCACTTTATGTGATACAATCTCAACAAAAAAGACAACTTCGAATATTTTTGACACCCTTCGTACAATTCTTGGTTACCGTCTTTAATCAAATCAGCAACATCTCTTCGCTCTTCATTAGGCATGGTATGTGTGGACCCCAATGATTCAGGTGAAGTGGTATGTTCTGATGCATGTTGTACATTGACACCAAATGCATCATTTATCATGTCAAATACTGGATTTTCATTTTTCAATGGCTCTTGTACTACTTGAGTGTTGTTTGATGTCTCCGTTTCATATGTTTCACCATGCCATATCCAAACCTTATAATTTTTTGGGAATTGCTTGCAAATCAAGTGGTCACGCACTATATCCCTTGTTTCCCATTTATTAAAGCGGCATTTAGGACATGGACACTTTATTGCACCATTGATAGACCGTTTCTCAAATGCAAAATCTAAGAACTTATCTAACCCACATAGATATTCAACTGAATTTCGTGGCATATTAATCCAAGATTTGTCCATTTCTATGACCTGAAAATCTCAAATATGTCATATAATCATTTGAGATTTTTGTTTGTGTAAACACTAAAAAGAAAAAACTAGACAATAATATAAGTTTTGATAGCAACATTGGCAAGTAAAATATCACAACAGAAAATGAATAATCTACATCTTCAGGATGACATAGATTCTTGTACACTTAATTTATGAAATGAGAAAATTTTACATTACCTTGAGTTTGTAATTTGTGTTAGACTCCTTTCTAATAGTTGGCTGCAATTTGACACAGAGTTAGCAATATATAAACGTATTCTTATATCAATATAAAATTATCTTCTTATATGAATTAATATCAAATCTAAATTGTGATCGACCCTACAGATGATCAAGTCACTGATTCGTTGATCTAATAAATTTTTTATCATGTAAACAGAATTTCTAAAAACTGAGTTTTACATAACCAAAAATTATTGAACTTCAACCAGACTGGCCATTAAACTATCAGCATAATAATGTCTAGGATATTTTTAGAAACTACACAACAGGTCAGGTATGATACTAGTAAATACTACCTACTTCTTCATTTACGGCTTTCGATTTATCCATTTAAATCCAAAAATGAAAATTAAAAAAAAAAGTTACAAATTTATGAATTAATTTGATGATAATTTACATAATCGAAGAACTAAATTAATGTAAAAAAAATAAAAGACCAGAACGATAATACTTTACATTATTATTATTATTTAAAAACTAAATGGCTAACATTTTTTTTTAAATGACCAAAGTGATGACTGAAAGGAAAAACCTGAAAAGCTAATATACTGATAACTCAAGCAACTGACCAATAAGGCGGGTACTGTAGTTAGTTAAAGATTAAGTTATGAAAAAATATTTTTCATTTTATTAAATTAAAAAAGGCGAAGGGCAGGGTTATTATTTGAGTTGGGTTAGTTCCTTATAAGTTAGAAAATAAAAAATAGAAACAAAGAAAGCTATAAAAGCTATAGAATTTTAAGGGGTGTCAAGGTGAAGCCAGAATTTTTAGGCTTTTTCAAGTAATTTCTTCACTTCAAAATCTAAGGCTAACAAAAAAGGCATCATCTAAGAAACCTTTAATAAACTTAATTTTTTCTAGAACATATAGTTTGGTTATAAAAAATTTGTTGTTTCAAGTATGAATTGAGTTATATAGCTAATGTCCTCTCCTAGTCTCCTAAACTTGCTTTGATCTTTGGATTTTGTTCAATAGTACTGTGATGGGAATGTAAATAACAAGAAAAAGTTGAAGCAAACTTTACAGAATCTAAAAGAAAGGCTACATAGAATATTTAAGACTCACAGTAGCAGGTTCCAGTAAGCATCCAAAGAGGTTGAATAGATCTCTGCAAAACAAAATAGTATCAAAATATTGGACATGGCAAGACCTTAATGCAGATATAACAAAATCAGAAAGAAAAAGAAAAAAGAAAAGAGAAGCCATGTAATGAGGAAGATAGGTTAATGCAGATATAACAAAATCAGATGTTATATTACTGTCACGCGGATCCTTAGCCCACAAATTGATATTTCTTTCTTTTGACAAGTTGATTATTTTATTAATTGTCACTACTCTAGAGAAGCCGAAAAACTATGGATTATTGGTGGCACTAATGTATAATATTTTTCTTTTCTCAATCAATAAGAACATCAACATTGAAAAAAAAAGGTTTGAACAATCTCAGATTGAATTCATAGCAGTCCACTTACTCAGACTGAAACCTAAAAAAGCTTTGATAAAAAGAATAGAAAAAGAAAAAGAAAGAAAGAAAACAACCCTTAGAAAGTTTCAAAAAAAAAAAAACTCAATTCACCCGATTATCCATGTCAACAAGAAAGCAACAGAGAGACCATCAGTAGATTTTTCTCTCTCGGTAGTTTGTGATTATTTGAGGAATTTCAGTAACAATTTTTTTCAAAAGAACTATATCTGTCAAATATTTTAAAGATCAACAACACAAAACTTTCCTCTAAAAACTAGTTAAAAAGTTAAAAATATCACATAATAACAAGCTAGAGAAAAAAAGGACAATGACTGATTGAGATCACATAAAGCAATAATATTAAGGGTGGAAAGCCAAAATAAATACAAAGCACAATAAAAAGACAGAACCTTAGCTGGATCCACCATTACCTGAATTCTACTATCTCCCTTTCTCCACTTTTTTTCCTTTTCCATCTCATTCAACCTTTTCACACTTTATCTCTCTCACTAAAAAAAAAAACACAACACACACAAATCTTGTTCCTCAAAATCATATTTCCCATTCTCTCCCAACCCTCACTCACTTCAACTTTCAGAGAGAAAGCAAAGCACATAACAAGGAACACAATGTGCAGCTTCTCTACCATTACCAAGCACATAACAAGCAAAGCAAAATCACGCAAAATGAAGCTGTTACAAGCTATTTGCAACCCGAACACATCAAATTCAAACTCATCATAATCCAAAACACCATTTATTAAAAGCAGAGCCACTAAATAAGCATTGGCAACGACAACAATGCTAGCAAGAAATGATTTCAACGGCAGTTTATCAAACTCCAAAGGTATCTTATACTACAATTTCTCCAGTAACAAACATCACAATAAAATCGCCAAAATAATTAACAAAATAAAAATAAATAAACGAGACAAACACAAAGTTGAAGATCTAGAACACAAAAGTTCGTCCATTGGCCAAGTTCTCAAGAGATTTCCAGTTCAAATCGCAAAAGTTTAAACTCGAATTCCATTTCTAGCATTTTCTTTTTTTTTGAATAATACCATTTCTAGCATTTTCTAACCATCCAAATATGGCACCGACTCTATCATTATGCTATAAATTAGAAAATAAATTAACTAAAAAAATAGCAATTAATTTACAAAAAAAAAAAAAATAGCAATTAAACCAAGTAACCATAACTAACTAGTGATTACAGAATACGATAGTGTAGGCTAACACAAATCTTGAACAACAATGAAAAGAAGCATATCCAAAATACAATCCTCTTCTCTCTTTCATGCATGTATCAAATCGGAGAAACTTTACCAATGTGGAACAAAACTTTACAACAATCTATGTAAAGTATATATATATATATATGTGTGTGTGTGTGTGTTCAGGTTGCTGAAAACTTTACCAATGAGCAGAAGACCAAGGTGGAAATGACAACACCAATGGAAGAGAAGCCACCGAAGATTGTGGCGCAAGAAGGATAGAAGAGAGAAGAGGAAAAAAGAACATACCTCTGAGAAAGTACAGAAAATAGAAGATACAATCATCAGAACCTTCAACCACAGTGTAAAGTAGCTGATAGGGTTTGCTATTTAGCTCGCCTTCGAAAAAGTTGAGTCCCCAAAAGCCTTAGCTTATTTTTTTTGAAGAAGTAAAATCATTTAAAGTAATTTAGGATATTTTTGAATAAAATCCTAAAAAAAGTTTTACATTTGTGCAGGTCCAAGAACGCTATATTTTTTTGTAGTGCACAAACTATTTTATTCTTTTCGTACAAAATATAATGGTGGGAAATTGAAAAAAAAAGTAGCTAGAACTGAAACTCAAGTATGTCAGAATGCAGTGTAAATGACAAGCTCGTTTTTCATGCTCCGGGAGCTTGTACCCCCTTCTAAAAATAGGGGGAAAAAAGGATTGAGATGGAAATTTGAAAAAATAAAAGGGTATAAATGGAATTTTTGAAAAAAAAGTAGCTAGAACTGAAACTCAAGTATGTCAGAATGCAGTGTAAATGACAAGCTCGTTTTTCATGCTCCGGGAGCTTGTACCCCCTTCTAAAAATAGGGGAAAAAAAGGATTGAGATGGAAATTTGAAAAAATAAAAGGGTATAAATGGAATTTTTTTTCCTTTTTTTGTAAAGGACCATAAAATAGTGCTGTGCTCCTGGAGCATATTAGAAAAATCCGTAAATGACAGACTTGAGAACGTGAAAAACTGCTTCCAGATGTTAAGGTTTCGATTTTTTTTTGGGATAGGTTATTTTGCCTACTCCCAATTTGCCTACCTTTGCCTACCTCTTTCATTATCGTTCGATTACGATCTCATCCAATGGTCAATATTCGCAATATAAAATAAGTCTTTTTTTCCCTTTCTTTCTCCTCACTTCCTCACACACCATTTCTCTCTCCTTAGCTTTCTCTCTTTCTCGGTGGCCAACCTTACAATACTCTGATCAAAAGAGAACAAAAAAACACATATCATCGAAAATTATCAGGAGCATCAAGAGCCATGGGCACGCCAACACCCACTGCAGCGTTTGTATAAAAGCAGCACCTCACGTTTGGTGCCCTAATTCTCAAATTCCAATTCTCGATTTACCACCAAAAATTGTCACTAGAAGAAAGCAGAAGCAGAGTTTCATTTTCGTTAGCTCTCTTCTCTGCAGTGTAGCTGTTTATCTCCATTGTTACCACATGATTAAGAACTCCCAAAGATCAAGAATACTGTTAAGAAAAGTTTCATCATAAAACAATTGATCACATCGTGCTCTTCCTTATTTAATTCAATTGAAGATCAACTCGCTGCAAACATATACTGTTAAGTAATTACTTGTTGCGAAAAATAAAAATCAGACCACAAATGTGTAGACAAAAATGTGGACGGATGCAGAGGTGCCGATGGAAGATAATATGAATAGGTATAGGTATACTACTATAGCTGCTAATAACAGTACCTAATTAGATGTGAAATTCCTATAATTTCTTTCGTTCCAAACAGGTTTTGATCTTTGGGAAATCGAATTATGGACAGTTGGAATTTTGAGGTTTTGGAGGAAGTGAGGTTTCAAGATTGATGGTTGTCGATGGTATGTGCTTTTTGTTCATTTTTGATCAGAGTATCGTAAATTCCAAAATTGACCGTGGAGGAAGAGAGAAAGCTAAGGAGAGAGAAACTGTGTGTGAGGAAGTGAGGAGGAAGAAAGGGAGAAAAAGACTTATTTTATATTTCAAATATTGACCATTGGATGAGATCGTAATCGAACGGTAATGAAAGGAGTAGGCAAAGGTAGGCAAATTGAGAGTAGGCAAAATAACCTATCCTTTTTTTTTATAGAGAAAACAATGCAAAGCGAATCGGAAAGAAAAAGAGAGAGAGAAAAGAAAATCAAAACCACAGTTAATACAAAGGAGAGAAGAGGGGAAGAGAAAAAAAAACTTATAGAAGGAAGAAGCGTCGAAGGAGGAAAGAGCAAAAAGCGTAATTTTTTTTTCTTTTTGAAAGAAAGTGTTGAGAGTGATGAATGAAAAAAGAAAAAGAAAAATAGAAAAGTGATTCTCTTTCTATGCCCTGGAACAGAGAAGCAAAGACTTTTTGTTTCTTTTCTTTAATAAAACTAATACTTCCCAATTAATCAAGCTTTTATAAAACTAACACTCCCCCATCAATTAAGAAATCGTCAACCACACCACCAATAACTGAATTATCCCTTGACCAAATTGTAAGAAATGTCTTATGTATGTGTGATGAGTGTATATGATTTAATAATTCAATGAAAGGTTGATGAATAATCATTAGTAATGTGATTTTTAGAGAGAGATTTCTTAACTGTTTAGTAGTTATGTTTTCAAATTACAAATATATAAAAATAAAACTCAGTGTCTAGTTGATTATATAACACGAATAGGTAATTTATCCATAAAATATCGCGAATTATCATATCTAGTTTATATTTAATGAAATCAAGAATTAGATATCATGATCTTCTATAGTACTATATGTTTTACATTATCGGTGATAAATTCATTTTGCATAATGATTTCTCGCAATAAATATCATGAACAAGATAAATAAAACTAATAACTGGCTTATGTCACACATTGATCTTCAACTGTGGTGTGACATGCACAATTAGTGTATGACATATATCACGGTATTATGGAAGTATTCAATGCAATTCATTTATGGAAAATACAGCTCTCCTTTCACTGCAAAAAAAATAAAAATAAAATCTTCATGACAATACTATATAAAGTCAGGATATATTAATATCAGTATTTTGTTATTTTTCCTTATTTTGGTTATTTTGTTAGTTAGTGACTAGTATTCTGTTAATCAGTGAGTGATGTGTGCGTTTTGGTGACACACACTTGCACGTTCTCTTTCTGTTAGGAAAAGTTTGTTATTGGCCTTTCTGCTTTGGCCCTCCTTTTGCTTCAGGTTATATAGCCTTACATTGTATTCTTTTCTTTAATCAATCAATGAAATGCAAATTCAGTTTTTCTTCTTCAAGTTATGCTTCTCTAAAACTAATATGGTATCAGATGTTTTCTTCTAGCCCTTGCCTTCTCCATGGCTCGTGGCAGTAACAATACTCGTCCTCCTCCGACTGAGGCTTCATCCGGATCTTCTGTTTCCATGGATGATTCCTCCAGTCCTTACTTCTTGCAGAGTGGTGATCACCCGGGTTTGGTTCTTGTTACTCATACACTTTCTGGTTCAAATTTTAATTCATGGCTTCGTGCCATGACCCTTGCTCTCACTGCCAAGAATAAGCTGGCCTTTGTGGACGATTCTTTGCCTCGTCCCCCAGTTTCTGATCTTCTTTTTTCAGCCTGGAATCGTGGTAATTCCATGGTCATTTCTTGGTTGTTGAACTCAGTGAGCAAGGATATCGCCGATAGCCTTTTATATTTTTCTAATGCTTCTGAGGTCTGGTCTGATTTGAAGGCTCGTTATTCTCAAGCGAATGGGCCCAGGATTTTTCAATTGAAGCAGCAAATTTCTTCATTCTGTCAAGGTTCTCTTGATATTACCAACTACTACACTAAGTTGAAGTCTCTTTGTGATGAGCTTCATGACTATCTGCCTCTTCCACGATGTACTTGTGGTACGCTTCGCGAGATGATTTCCAGGAATGATCAAGATCATGTTCTCCAGTTCTTAATTGGTCTAAATGATTCGTTTTCTGCTACACGTGCTCAGATTTTGCTTATTGACCCCTTGCCTCCTCTTGCCAAGGTTTTCTCTATGATCCTTCAAGAGGAACGCCAACGTCAACTCTCTGTGTCCTTATCTGTTCCTGTTGTTCCGGACACACCATTGATGAATTCTGTTTCTGATGCTTCTCCAGCATCCATGGCCGTTGCTGCTCCACGCCGTTCACGCCCAGTGTGCACTTACTGCAATTTAACGGGTCATACCCGTGAGAAGTGCTTCAAACTTCACGGGTATCCCCCAGGTTACAAACCAAAATAGCCTAGGCCCATTCCCTATTCAGCCTCACCTCAGGCCCATACCCATCCCTCTGTTCATTGCATGACACGTACTTCCCACTTGTCATCCCCACCTACTTCCCACCTTTCCTCCCAACCTAATTCCCAATTTCACTCTGCACCACCGACACACCTGCACCCTTCCGCTGCCGATGCCTCTCTTGCCTTCACGCCCACCCAATATAATCAGTTGCTTTCGCTTCTACATCAGAGTTCTGCTTCTTCCTCGGTTGCTTCTTCTGTTGCTGACTCGTCTCCTTTCGTGGCGAGCTTAAGTGGTAAATCTCCCCTTTCTTTTCCTTCTTCTTGCTGGATAATTGACACTGGTGCTACGCACCATGTGTGTGTGTCTCCTGATTTTTTACATGATTCTACTCCTTCTTTTTCATCTGTTGCTTTCCCTAATGGCTCATCTGCCGTTGTCTCTGCTGTTGGCTCCGTTTTGTTGTCCAACTCACTGTCTCTTCTTAATGTGCTTTGTGTTCCTACTTTCTTTTTCAACCTGTTATCCATAGGTGCATTAACAAGGGACTCTCCCATCATTGCTTATTTTTCCTCCTCTTTTTGTTTTCTTCAGGACCGTGTTTCAACTCAGATGATTGGGATTGCTAAGAGATGTGGTGATCTCTACATTTTGGATAGTAAATGTCTTCTTCCCATTGTTGATGTTCCCCCTCCCCTGTGTTTTTCCTTAACTGTTCGAGACCCCATACTATGGCATTCTCGGCTTGGTCATTTGTCTGTCAATGTTTTGAATTCAATGAAAGGTTCCCTTGGTTTTTCTGATGCTTTGCATGTTTCTCATCATTGTTCCATTTGTCCCTTAGCCAAACAAAAACGGCTTCCCTTCATTTTAAATCCTACACTTTCTGCATTGCCTTTTGATTTAGTGCATTTTGATATTTGGGGACCATTTCACACCCCATCTGTCGAAGGATCTAAATCTGAGTTTTCTACTGTTTTTCCAGCTTTTCACACCTTAATTCATACTCAATATGGCATTCTTATTAAATCCATTAGGTGTGACAATGCTCCTGAATTCAATTTATCCTCCTTTTATTCATCTCATGGTATTCAAGTGTTTCACTCCTGTGTGAACCGTCCTCAACAGAACTCTGTTGTAGAAAGAAAGCACCAGCACCTGCTCAATGTGGCCCGTGCCTTACATTTCCAGTCCCAAGTACCCTTACCTTATTGGCAGGATTGTGTTCTTACTGCTGTCTACCTCATAAACCGCACTCCTTCCCCTCTCCTTGCTTCTAAGACACCATTTGAACTCCTTTCACATAGAGCCCCATCATATGCTCACCTTCGTGTGTTTGGCTGCCTTTGTTATAGCTCCACACTTCCTCACCACCGCCATAAATTTTCGCCCCGTGCTTCCCCTGCCATTTTTCTGGGTTATCCCACTGGTTATAAGGGATATAAACTTTTAGACATCCAATCCAACTCCATTTATATTTCCCGTGATGTAACTTTTTTTGAAAACATTTTTCCCTATACCTTCAACTTATCCTCCACATCCTTTCACACAGAATTTTTGACACTGCCACCTTCTTTGCCTCTATCTCCTTCTCCTATAGCTTCTGATATTTCTCCCTCTAACCACTCCTTGAGGTCTCAAAGGCTTCGACATCCCCCTGCTAAGCTTGCTGATTATGTGTGCTCATCTTCCACTCAACACCCCCTGACCAATTTCATTTCTTATCATCGGGTGTCTCCCTTACATAAGGCCTTTGTGAATTCGGTCTCCTCTCACTTCGAGCCAACCTCTTATTCTGAGGCTTCCCAATTACATGAGTGGCAGGCAGCAATGGATTCTGAGTTATCAGCTCTTGAATTGAACAAAACATGGACTGTTGTGTCTCTTCCTAAGGACAAGCATGTTGTTGGATGTCGTTGGGTTTACAAGGTCAAATACCATTCAGACGGCTCTCTTGAACGTTACAAGGCTCGTTTGGTGGCCAAGGGGTTTACACAACAGGAAGGTATTGATTTCATGGATACTTTTTCTCCTGTTGCTAAATTAACTTCTGTCCGAATCATTCTTGCCTTGGCTGCTATTTTTAACTGGACCTTAATTCAATTGGATGTAAATAATGCTTTCCTTCATGGGGAATTGTTTGAAGAGGTTTACATGCAGTTACCTCCTGGCTATTGCTCTCGGGTTTCTCCTCTTCCACCTAATGCTG